TGAGTCATTGTCTCACATACCTCAGGCTTTCCGGACGCCCCGTTCGGGTTTGATTCCAGCTCTATACATGGTGGCGCAAGCCCATCTCTAGTTCTTAGACATCCTTGAAAGTCAGGGACCCAGCACACATAAAAATAGACTTTAGTGTATAAATTGGAAGACAGAAAGGCTATGTGTACACTGCGCTGGTTTTGCACAAGAAATATGGAAATGAGGCGAAGCATGGAATATCACCGAGCCTCATTTGCATAATTAATGAGCGGCCGCTTTTTGCGCAAGAGGCTTTTGCGCAAAAAGGAGCCATCTACACGGCAACCCCATCTCTTGCGCAAGAGCCGTTCCTCCTGAAAAAAGATGCAAAACCAGCACAGTGCAGACGTAGCCAAAGAGAGTAGTGCCTATGGGCGGTAGGTGAAGGTAGGGCCAGGGGAGGCAAGTACCGGGCCCTGCCCAGCCCCGACCCTTCTGCCCAGGCCCCGCCCCCATAGGAGCCAAGCCCCTCCCCCAACCCAGAGTACCCCGGGGAAGTAGGGTGGCGTGCGTCCCCAGTCTGTCAGACTCCGGAACACTGGAAGGACTGGTGCTCGGGGGGCAGCAACACTCCCCCCCAGTACACCTCCAATAGGGTTCTGGGGGTGGAGTCTGGGTAGCACCAGGCTGGCCGTGTGGGAAGGCACCTTGTTACACCTGCCACCCCTGGGACTGCCTTACCTCACTCAGTATGCCGGTTCCACAGCTTCTTGTTGAGACTAATTCTAGGCGGTCCGAAGCAAACTTGGATAACCTGGTGAGCTCATTCGTCCTCCCCCCCCACCATTTCCAGGTATTTCGTAGCAGGCTTATATCTCTGATAACACATTGGAAGGCCTGGTGTGCTGCTTGTGGTAGCCCTGAGATCCTGTCTCTGCTGTTTACACGCGTGTGTTCCCCATAGATGGAGCCTGCATGGATACAACATTTGTATCCCCATCTGTATCTGCAAACATGAGTGGCGGGGATGTGGATATCCGCGGACACCCACGGATTTGCAAGGCTCTGCCCATATGCCGCTGATTTCTCCTCCTAGGGAAGAGCTGGACCCCTCATCACCTGAAGTGTTGAGCACTAGCCCAGACAAAGCAGAGGAGAATTTTCCACAGACGAGATGTTGTTTCTAACATCTGGAAAGGGAGACACATTCAAACCTTAGGTGCAGCAGTCCTGGCTCTAGGCTCACACCTCTCAGGTCAGCCTGGATGAAAGCTTCCTGCGGAGAACATGTCAGAGGAAATAGCACGAGAATGCAAGAGGCATCCATCCCGCACGCTAATGAATATCAGGCTTAGCTGCATGCAGATTTCCCTTCAGTCACAGGAAATGTGTTAGTAAAGGCCATGCATTATTTAGCATTGTTTCTTTGGGGAGGTGAAAATTGCTTTGTGTCGCTGCAGCTCTCTGCCCCATACACCTGACAATGACAGAGGAGCCTGTTGTAAAACAGGCTCATTAAAAATATAAACATTATGTTGATTTCAACAGCTTAAATTGCTTAAGCCGGCGTAACGGGATAAATATTTGATGCTGACATTTTATTACATTTCCATCGATATGATGTTGTTGCTCCCTGTGAGGAGAGCTGTTCAAAAGCTGCATGGTGGTCTATGCAGGGAATTGATTTAAAACCTTTGCAGAGCTCCTTGCAGATTGCTTTCGGGCTGATATGAACTGCATTCCTCCTTTTATCATTTGCAGGTAAGAGCAAATCGTTTCTGCTGCCACCAGACCAGACTTGATTGGGGTTAACATCACAAACTGACCAGGGACAGAGCCTCAGCTGGGGCAAATTGGCTTTGCCCCATGGAAATCTCGCAGGACGCGGCCAGGAAGCACACTGCCAGGGTCCCTACGAGCAGGATGCCGCCATGGGCCTCAGCGGTTTCCTGGAGGTTGAGTTTGGGAGGGATGGAGAAGACCTGTTCTCACTGTGGTCCTGCACCTGCAACATTCACGATGCCTGGGAAAGAGGATCAGCTGCCACTGGATGAAGTGCAAAAAGCAACAGTAGTTGGGAGTCCTGGTGCCACACATTAAGACCTTGGAACACACCATCATCACCCCACCCACCAGAACCATGCTGGAGAGGACCATGAAAGGTGCTGACCCTGCCTCTACATGGAGAACCTCAAGCAGAAGCCTGACCAGGGCAAGGTGTTGGAGAGGACCCGCAATTGGGACACCACCAACCTTCCTCCCGGGGAGCAACTTCACCCGCTTTGCTGACTGGCAGTTCGCTCACCAGGCCCAGATCAATTGTGTCCCCCTCAACGGGCTCGTCCGCAGTGTGGATCAAGACAAACACTGCAGGAGGTGTGGCTTCGCCAACGAGACAGTCCCATATCCAGTGTAGCTGCTAGACCCACTCCAGGGCCTGGCAGCTCTGCCCTAATGATATCCAGGACTGGCTGGTCAAAGCCATCCCGCCAACCTTACGGGGGTGTTGCTGTCCACTCCGTCGTCCCCGGCACGGACAGCCTGCTGCAACCCAACATCATTGTGACCAATGAAGAGCAGAAGAAGGTCATCATAGTAGAAATCACGGTGCATTTTGAGAATCAGACTCCGGCCTTCCATGGTGCTGGAGCTCGGAAGGTTGAGAAATACACTCCATCGGCAGAGACCCCGAGGGCCGGGGGCTACAAGGTCTAGATCCATGCCCTGCTCGTGGGGGTCTTGGGTGGGTGGGACCATCAAAACGAGCTGGTGCTGTGAGCGTGTGGTGGCGGTCAGCGCTATGCCCGGTTCACAGGGCAACTGACAGTATTCAATGCCATATGGTGGTCCTGAGCACATCATGGGCCACTGACAATAGCAGAGTGAGTGAATGAGACTGCCTCTGAGAGACACAGTCAGGGAAGCTACCACTTCCTTCCCTAACAGACTGTATCTTCTCATAGGAGACATACAAGATTGCCAGTGTGAGACAAGGTCAGGGCAATCACCCACTTCCTTCCCTGACAGAGCTATATAACTTTCCAGAGAAGACCTACAAATCATTGACAGACCCAGGGACATACTCCATCCATGTGCCTATGCACTTCACCGCCACAGTCTGTGACTCTTTACCCTTTATGGGCTGTGCCCCCAAGAATTCTTCATTTGCTAACTTGCTTTATTTGCTTCAAAAACTCACCCATCTTAATCTGGACCAATGCTGGTTATGTAGGCTTTGTTTCTCCTTAACTATATAAACCAATACTTGTAATTCCTCGTACCCCAAACTTAACCCCAGATATACACTGCCTTCCCTTTTTAACTTGTATTTTGTAAACTTAATGGAAACATTAGCTTTAATAAAATTCTTTCATTGTCACCTTCTTGGATTTTCCCATCCCACGGCTGCGTACTTGGCCACAGGGAATGGATTGAAGCAAGAAGCTGAGGGAGAGAGGAGAGGCAGAGCTGAGAGCTGGACCTGCAGCATTAAAGAGAGAAAACCCAAGGAAGCATGAAAGAGACCCCCCTGACATGGATGATACATGTTCCCGACGTCCAGCTCCTAACAGGGCAAAAAGTAGCATCCTCAGAAGGTTACTGTAGAGTTCAAGTCAGACAATGAGTCTGAGGAACTGCTGAGCCAGCAACCTCTTCTCTTGGGGAGGTGGGACTGGAATGGAGCATCTCCCAAGAGGCTTTGAGTGATGTGGACAGATGCAGGAAGTGGTTCTGAGAGGCCCAAGAGGGCATCTTACCTTACCAGCTGCTGCCACCAAGAGAATCCCTTGCGAGAAGCCGAGAGTTGGGTTAAATGGGACATCCCAGCTGATCTCCCTTCTCTCATAAATCCAAGCGTGTCTTATTACTAAGCCATAACGAAGAGGTGGTTTTCACTGCGTTACTTCCCTGAGTGACGTGGGCTTCATTCCATGCTCCTTGCTCAAGCAAAGCTCCCTCAGAAGCCAATGCGACGTTTGCCGGACTCACAAGGTGCTATGGGGCAGTGCTATGCTCTCAAGCAGGGGCCAGGGCGCCGAGGTGGGCACAAGCAGGTTTCGGGGATGGGGGTGTCAAGCATTAACACAGAAAGCCAAAGTCCATCCATGCAGGCAGGCCTGCCAGTGGGGATGGGGAGGGAATGAGGCAGTTACCTCAGGGCCTGGCAATTCAAAAGGGCCCAGGGTTTCTGGCTGTTATTACAGCAGCAGTGCCTGCAGCCCTGGCTCTTTAAATCACGGCTGGAGCACGCATGTTGTGCTCCAGGTAGCACTGAGGACTGGCTGTCCCCAACCCCGCCCCTTCTGCCTGAGGCCCCGCCCTTTCTGGGTGAGCAGAGTTGCCCCGCCCCCTTGCCCAGGGGCCTGGCGAGGCTGTCGGCTCCCCTGAATGCAGGACTGTAATCTGGGCCCCCAAGCCTGAGTGGATTAGCTTCACAGTGCCCCTGATGGTGCAGGACTCTGGGCAATTGCCCTCCTTGCTACCCCCTCACACCAGCCCTGGCTTTTAGAGCCTGTAGGGGGAGGTGTTTTTAACGTGTGTTTTGATAGCCTGTAGGGGGAGGTGTTTTTGTAGCCTGTAGGGGGAGGTGTTTTTAACGTGGTGTTTTTGTAGCCTGTAGGGGGAGGTGTTTTTAACGTGGTGTTTTGATAGCCTGTAGGGGGAGGCTCAGAAAGAGAAAGGTGGAGAACCCCTGCTCGAATGTCCCGTGCCCCAAGATGGCTGCCTCAGCCCTTTGGACGGCAGCGTGTAATTAAGGCCTCTGTTTTCCAGGCCACTGCCCCAGTTATTCATGCTGAGAATTGCAGCTTCTCAAAGCTGCTGGGCTCTGCAGGAGAGGAGGGGGGCATTCTTTGCTCCTTTTAGCTCTGGAAAAGCAGTGAAGGGTGGGCCAGATCAAAGCCAGACTCTTTTTTTCCCTATCTCTAACATAAGGGTCAACCCCCCTCCCCAAAGAACTGCCATCCACCACATGCAACCCGCCGCTTTCCCCTGTGTGCGGAGTTGTCTTAAAATGCAGTAGGCTGTCCATTTGCTTGCGCTGTGTCTGGGGACTCAGGTGTGTGTGTTTTGCTTATTCAGGTAAGAGCAGTGCTCAAAAGGGCAATGGGATTTCAAATTAATCGGCGTCTGGCCAGCCAGCTGACAGAGCACACAGTACATTAGCACTCTGAGTGGAACCATGGATAAGAGCAGGTGAAAAGGGCTAGGCTGAGGACTGAGAGGCAACTGGGGGGGTGGGGTGGGGAAAGCGACATCACTGGAGTCTCAGGTGAATATTTAGTCCAGCTAATTTTTTTTTTTTAAATCCAGACATCCCCTTAAAGAGACAGATCGCTTTCTGCCGGGGTACACCACATTCAGACCCATCCGTGGCACTATCTGGCTGTAAATAAAGACAGGGCTTTGTGAGACTAGACTGAATAATACCATGAGTCTCTTCAGCAAATGCCATGCTATATCACTGCTGAGGGAGCAGGGGCAGACTTTAAAAGGCCTAGTTCTACAGCCCTTACTGAGAGGAGAAATCTCATAGGCTCCAGCAGTATTATTGGCCCCAACTGTCCCAAACTCATGAGTTTTGGCTTTAAGAGACCACAAGATTTGAAAGTACTGTGTTTGATATGCTATTTATTTGTTTGCTGGTGTTCATGTTCTTCACCTTTTCTTCCTTATCATGACAGGTAGAAATGTGTGTATGTGTATGTGTGTGTGTG